AGCATTGACTAGGAACTCCCTGACACAAATAGACCCAGGCTGCATGTTCATGAACAATGTCCCAATGGGGCATTCCCCAGTCTCTCTCTCTAGATGAGAGCCATCTCTCATCTAACCATCCTGAAAAATAATCATGAAAATAAATGCTACATCTTGTTCTAGTTGACTTGGGGATAATTTGCAATGAGGAGGGAACTAAACAACTCAATATTTACTATTTTCTAGTTGTCCTCTGTTTTGTCCAGGAAACAGGGCAGGCACATAAGTGGACCTTGCTGAAACAGTCTGTCAGGACACAAAAGGCTCCATAAGCCAAACTCAAACAAACTTTGAGAGTCACCAATCCAGCCTTTTGCCCTGCCCCTCTACTGGGATCTAACATGCCTTGGGTGAGTCAGCAAAGGGAATGGGTATACTCATGTTTTAGCCAGTCGAGTTCCCTTCACTGTGCTTTTTCCCCTGAATAACAGCACAGTATATGACTACTGGGCTTTTACTGGGATCTGATGTGGAGAGTGATCAACATCTGATCAACATCATGGATGAAAAGCACAATGACAATGTCCTTTGTCTTGGGAAATGCTCTTTTTTTTCCTACCAAAATTTAATGACAATTTTTAAAGGGTTCTATTTGTCTTATTTTATTAAATCTGGTATTTTTTAAGAAAAGCAGTGGCTCTCTACTCCACAAAATATGGGCACGGGCAATAAGTACATTGAAGGCCTATTGCTGGCTGGCTAATTTCCATGTATCCTAATATGGTTAAGAAAATGTTTGACTGGAGCCCAGAGCAGAGCGCCAAACTTAACAACTCTGCAGTAAGCAGAGTGCCACAGAGTCCTCTGCTTAGATTCTCTGTGCAGAGTGCAGTTACTGCCTATTCTCATGAATTAGACCATAATTACACTTCTGCAGTTACACAACCCAGAACCCTTTTGTTCTCTCTCCGCTGCCAATGAAGATTAACACTTGCTACCGTACAAGGCTTTCAGAGGTAGCAGCTAATTGGAGTGTTTCCCTTCTTGGGCTAGACGTATTAAGGAAATCCTGGGTATCCTGATGATATAGAAGAACATGCAACTGTATGAGGCACACTGCATTTGTGTAAATAGCAAGGTTTCCAAGGGCTCCAATACAAGAACACATTTTCTTAATCTACTGCTAATGTACATATGAAGTATATTACAATATCAAACCTATATACAGGGCAGGTATTTTCTTCACTATCTGCCTTGCTGCTGCTGCCACTTATGAAACTTGGCAAGCTGCAATTTGCTTACCTGCCTCTGAGCCCACTGTAAAATAAATTTTGCACATCTATGTTATATGTTTGCATATCTGTCTTTCAAATTTTGCTGGGCAGCAAGTGGCTTAGGATTTTTGAAATAGTTAAGCCAAAAGAGAGTGACAAAGCAAATGAATGACATTGTTAAGGTTAGTCTTTAAATCACACTTCAGTCTTCTCACTTATTCTTTTATCTAATGGCACCAAAATCATTGCAAACTCTGATAATAGGGATTTGGTGACAGAGGCAAAGTGGGTCATTGAGTTTATATCAGCAAAACAACTCATTTCAGGCCTTAAAAGAGCAACACTACCTTGATTATGCAAAAGGGTTAGCTGGCCTCTCCCAGATCATTTCCTATGAGATCATATGCAGACTTTGAAACAGAAGGGACCAGTTTCAGGAAGTCTGGAAGCCTTTTATGGATTATATTAACAAGGCACAAGCTGTTCCCTAAAACTGATTGTACATCAAATTCCATCGCAGCCACGTGCCCTTGGTTGGAATGTTAAAGCATGTATGATAGTACCAACAACCACCAAAAAAAGCAGCAATTCTGTCATTTAATCTCTATGACCTTTTGTGTGCAGATAGCACACAATAGGTTGCAATGGTAAACTTTCAAGTATCCTACAGAGTTTAGTTACAATTTTAGTTAAATACCTGTCTTATTCAGTAGAAATAAAAAGTGCTACACTGCATGATTTTGGAAGTCAGTTTTGCTTTTTCTTCTCTGATAAGTACTAACACAAAAACATGTATCTACACAAAACCAGATCCATGCTTGAAAAATACTTTTTCTTGCTATTTGAGGCCTCACCTAATGTATTTACTACCAAACACATTTTCCAGTCAATTCACTTACTATACATTTACTCTTGATGTAAAAAATTAGAAAGCCCACCAGCAACTGCACTCCTTTTCCAAGAATTAATGCTGTGCATTTTCTTATTTTTCAGAATTTTACATCTAGGCTTTATTTTCTGGGGGACACATATGGATAAGGCAGATGCCTGACACGCAGCAGTGGTTCAGCAGACCCACAAGTCTATAAACACACTTCAAATGCTGTAATTCTGTTTGGAATTGTGACAACATTTATGAAGGCTCTGGCCTTCAGGATCTTTAGCAAGGCTTATGTATCATTTGGGTTTCGTGTTAACTCTTAGGTGATGCATAAATTGCATGTTGAGCTTTATAAGACCTGGACTGTGAGAGACTGAATTTCACTGTGGGAGGCAAACTAACCTGTTACTGGAATTAGATAATTTCACCTATTTATTAGCAATGATATTAGTAGATTTTTCTGTTGAAAGTAACACAACATTTTCAAACAGCATCTCTCAAAGAAAAGTTATAATCTTCCCTTCCACTTACAGAAGAGGAAGAGAAGCATGGATAATGAAATGCAGTTACCTACCCAAAGCCAACTGGTCATTCAAGAGTAGCACCTCTTGCCTCCAAGTTAAAAGTGCTTTCCCCCATAAAGTTGCCCTTTTCTCCTACCATCTGCACATCATTGATGCTATGGCTGGAGAACCAAAACACTCAGAATTAACATTCCTCCAGCATTAAACTTCCATCTCTTACTAAAAATAAGACACATTTTTGTTCTTGTTGGGAGTGGAGAGATATAAGAAGCACCTGAGCAGAGGAATGAAAACCTCATACATTTATTATAATTTTTTGCTATCTGTTTTGCTGTGCCAAAGAGGATGCAACAATTGAAAAACAACTATTGACTTCTCTTCATTTGGGGAATAATTATCACTAGTGCAATCTTCTGGGAATCCATCCTTAGAGCCTTGCTCATTGCTATTTATAACTGAGTAAATATTAGAGGATTCACATCTTTTTCCCTGAAAAAAACAAGACCCTTGGCCTTAACATTTCTTTGGAAAGTGTTTCAGAGGAGGCCCTGCAGTAGTATTTCCTTCCATTAAAATTCCCTCTTAAAATATTTATGGCCCGAAAGAGGAACACTAGACCTCAAATATACCACAAATACGGGTAAGTCTGCCTGCAGGCATTTGGAGACTAGGAATTTGCCCAAAACATTATTCTTAAAGAATTAACCAACTCTCTGTCAGCATAGTTAACAGTCTCAAAAAAAAAATTTACTTTGACATGCCTTTGTCAGGACAACTCAACTGAATATTGCATGGTTTTTCATTGCTTAGTGATTAATTATTCCCAAGGACAGAAACTGGAGCCTTTACGTTTCTGTATGCAAATAAAAAAATATACTTGGAAGCCAATACTGTCCAATAAACTAACTTCTAGGTTTCTATTCTCCTGGCTTCAGCCCAGCTCACCCTGTCTCTTATTTCTCTCATTTTCTGATACAATCTATGACACCCAGAGGCCAGAAGAGCAGGGAAGCTAAGGATGACCACACAAATTCAGTATGTTCTCAGGATTCTGCTCTGCTTGGGACACTTGAATTTGCCTGATGAACACCAGTCATCATAAAGGGCAAACTAGAAGAATGGTACAAGATAGGCAACATGATTCAGAGGCGAGCCTTTATCTAAAAGTGGATGCAGACACAATAGCCGTCAGGCTCTGCCACATACATAACCATGACTTCTTAGGATGCTTACAAAACATTACCTTTATTGGAAAAGCCAAGATCAGTTATGTGATAACCCTTATCCAAGACACAGCCCTTGATAGTGGTCAGTCATTTCAGAGAGGTATTCAACAAGCAGCGTAAGCATTCAAGGCAAGTCCTTTCATCATCTCCTCGTTGCAGTTATCTTCTTCACTTAAATTTTAAATACTTTTAAATTGTTTTCCTTAGTCTTCACTACAGTAACTCTGTATATTGTATATATCACTATTTTATGTAAATGTTCCACCCTTTTGGATCAGTGAATTTGTAGTCAGAATGATGGAGTTTCCCCATTCTTCCACTTGAAGCAATTTGTGCTAAACAGGAATTATAAAACAAGTGCAGCCTGGGAACATATATTATCATCATTGCTTAGAAAGACTCCTATTAACTGCTGAACAACAATCTTTTGAAAGACTAATTTCCTCCCACCTGGAAAGCAGAATTGTTTTATATGTCCCTATCAAACTAAAACCAGAAGACCTAAGCAATATAGAGTCAACTGACTTTGCTAACATATTCATCAACATTATTATCTCAATGACATATAGTAGTCTCCATATTCATAACCTTTCACCAGGAGAAAGACTAGTATTGCTGTTGAGCTGACCTGATTACCTCAGTCTGTACCTCAAATCTACAACTGATGTGTGTGCAAAGGTGATCACATGTAGGTTTAATGACAAAGAGTTAGGCCTCTCAAGGGAAAAGACTCTCACTTTCCATTCAGGTAATGTCCAGGGAGCAGTGGAGCCACAACATGGAAGAATGTCTTCAGTGTTTCAGAGCTAGATTACCATGCACAAATGTATAATCCTTAGGACACAAAACACTAACTCAAGGAAAGATCAAGGGGGAAAATTCGCAAATACACAAGTAATTTCTGACAGACAGTTTAATCAAGGACTACCACAAAGTATCTTCCAAATCAGGCTGATCGCTAACCCAGAATGACCTCTCTCCATACCAGACTTTAAGCTTTAAAGGAAACTAAGATAACATTAAAGTGCAGCTTATAATAGCAATTGTCTCAATTGAACAGAAAATAGCTCCAGGAAAAAAAAAAAATCAAAATATAAGCATTAATAGCATATCTCACCAGATATGATGCCCCTGAGCCTGGAAGAATGCTGCCTCTTCAGCTCACCAGGGATTCTTTGAGTAATCAAATGGTTATCACAGGCACTGGAAAGACAGAAGTGTTTACGTGGGATAATGAAGAGGGCACCAAAGGCAGAAAAAGTTACAGTTAGGATGGTCTAGAAAGCAGACCAGATCTTGATCCTTGCTGCAGTTGGTAGATACTATTGCATCACTGACTTAACTGACTTGCAGCTCATTTTCTTTTCCCAATGACTTCTCCAAGACAAAGAAACTCCCAAGCAAGGAAGGGCAGACTTCTCCATGCATCTTAAGTCCCATTAAGAAAAAGAGTGGCTTCAAAATGCAGGAAAAACTGCTTCATTCACCTGATCCTGCTGTCATGACCATCACCCAATCACAAGGTAATGTAATCATGAGAACAGTCTGGGAAACATCAACCACAGAACTGAGAATTTTAATATCCAAACTGCAGCGATTAATATGGAGCTAAACATGATTAAGCAAAATCCCATGAGTCACTTCAGGAAAAAAAAATCTGAGGGAATTCCCTATTTGTTTTGGCTATAGACCAGCACAGTTCTTTGATTGCTGACTGCCTTCAGTCAAAGATGCAAAAACATTTGGCTATTTCTGCATAGCTGCTGGAATGCATTTACCCAGTTTTCAGTGACAGGTTGTTTGTCTGCCTTTACATGTACTTTGCCACTTTGTGACTGCAACAGTGATAGAACAGCCACCTTCAAGTAATAGTTGGAATAAACTTAGACAGCATGTAGTGTGAAAAAATTGCCTCTGAGCCACGCTTCAGAGGAAGAACTTGTGGGAGCTACTGGGAGAATAGACAAATCTCCAACCAGGAGTAATATAAGCCACTTGGGAAGCTTGCTTAGGGACTCTGGTGGCTCACATCCAGTTCCACCTAGAGACACAGTGAAAAGATAAAACTTCCAAATGTCTATAACCTCAGAAGACAAAAGCTGGAATCACAGTTGCAGAGAAATTTTCTTTATCTGTTAAACCAGATGAAGAAAGATCTCCAAAATGAGCTGGTTTCACAATCAGCCTTTAATTAAACAAATAAAGAATTTACCTTTCCTGTTCTCCACCTAATCAACACAAACAGCAGATGGGCTCAAGGGTATTCATTAGACTCACTGGCTTGAGCAGGAGATTAGACAAAGCTCTGAAAAAATACACCACGCTTTTGCAACTGACACTGCATTTTTGCACCATTTCTTCTAAAGCCATAAGCAGTAGTGATGGGGGCAGCGAGGTTGCTTATGTTACAGAATGTTGAGGTGTTTGTATTAATTTTATATTGCCTGACAAAAGAGGTCTTATGAAGGTGACACTACCAAGATGGAAAACCAGAGCTGTGTCCAGCTAAGCTGACAGTTCATATAGGAAACTCTACTCTGGACCTAAAACTGCATCACAGTACATACTGAAAAGATCCATTTTTTCTGAGGTTTGCCAAATCTAGGAGATCGGGTGAAAGGAATGTAGATTCCCTTTGAGCAGTGCAAAAGTCCAGGTTACTGCACTCAATAAAACTCCCATTAAAGTCAACTGCAGTTGAATGTTCTAATCCAGAGAAAATCTAGATCTATCCTTGCATCGATAAAATGCAAAACTACTCCAATCATTAATAAAATGGAATGACTGACATGCCATTCAGGAGCCATTTAGCTACATCAGGTGATCCAGTTCTTTCAAGTAGATACTCAGCTCTTACACCACTCACCCTGCATAACTTACTGTAGCCATGAAAAAGAAATACACCACCATTTACATACAATAAAGAAAATAAAAATTCAAAGGTGCAATATAGTACAGTTAAGCAGCATTAAGTTCTCTAACTTCCTGACTGCTGACATGTTTTAGAGACAAAGCTCCAAAGGAGGACAAAGTCTTAATCAGAAGAACATCCTTTCTAGGACCTTCACTTAGCCTTGTTTCGTGTGATACCTTAATATCAAGTCACTCCTAAGTCTCATTCACAAGGTACTTAAGCACTCTTCTTACCAACCAAACAAGATTACTCACCTTCTTTAAATTAGGCACACATTTGTTAAGGCACAGCCAAAGCATACACACACACATATTCCTGACTAAGGACATGTTTTCCTTTCATGTGGTGTTTTTACTCTGTAGTCCGAAGCACAGTACCAAAAAAACCCTAAAATAAAACTGAATCCATTTTGCCACATATCTTCAAGGATTTCTCACTGAAATAAAATTTGCAAATGTATTTCACACCATTTCATACTTACGACATCTGTGGTGCATAAACTCTAGCTCTGTGCCCTCAAAGCTGTCAAAAACTGAATTATCTCCTAAAGGGAAACTGTAGCAGTTATTAATAGAATAAATAATAAGTCCCATGGGGACCATAGTGACACCAACGTGATGTGTAACAAGAGAGAGAGTGTTTATTCAAGGAGTCCCAGCTTATATAGCAGTTTCAAATGCTGCCACGTCACACAGGTAACTTCTTAAGCCAATCCCATACAAGCATTCAACAGAGCATGTGTGACAGAGTACTTAGAACTACAACTCCCAGGATGCTTTGCAGCACCTGGTGTTACCAGACACCATAATTCCCCCATTTTTATTAATAAGATACAAAACAGTGTAAATTCAAAAAACAGTGCAATTCTTAAGAAAACGTTTTTCACTTGACATAGTAAACTTATTTCTTGATTAAACCTTATTTACTTAAGGGTTTTTTGCAATTGGGTAGAACAAAAACCTTTATCAATCTGAGGGTTTATATATAACTGGGGAAAACTTACTTTATTAAAACACAAGGAAAAGTTTAAAGGAGGAACATCATGTTTTGAGTTGTCTTTTATTAAGGTGATGCATTAGAGGTAGTGTTTGTTGTGTGTGTGCGTTTCAGGTATTTTGTATAAGGTGTAAATGGTTCACATAGATTCATACATTCACACAATCTCTCTTTCACTCATTCATTCGGGTGGCCACCCCAATCATTCTTCATTCATGCATACATGTAATCTTTATTTTGTTTTCATATTCTAGCTATACAACTTAAACTTTTATGTAGTGTTTGGTCAGAATGAAAATTGTTTGACTCAGGATTTACTTACTTAATTACATGCATATTGTGTCTACTCCCCTTCTTTTGTTGTGAATATGGAAAGTTAATGAATTTAAAGGTATAATACTGGTAAGTAGTGTGTACATACTCGAGTGTGTACTTAAAAAAATTAATAGGTAGGTTACTATTATAATCTGTTAATTAATAACAAAAGAAATTTTTAAAGATGCTAATTACTACTTAAACGAGATAGTTACAAACTTAAACTTATTTAGATATATTTAAGAACTTAATAATTTTAAATAATACTCGGTAAATGTGACTATTAGTAATTTAAACAAATGTACAGGGAAATTAGAAACTTAAAAATGTATTAATAAGGCAATGTTGAATTTTTCTCTTATTAAATAGAAAACTAAAGACAGCTAACTAAATTATTTTAGACAAAAACATTTGTAATAATTTCTAAAGGGTTATATGCAAAACATGGAAAAACAGTCAGTAATATAGTGTTTGTATAGTTTTGGCCCTGGCCCGGGTCCTTGCCTGGGCCGCCGCCGCCTCTCTCACGGGAGCGGGGAGGCGGCGTTGTTACTGTTGACGCTCCCGGAGGAGCTGGAGTTGCTGCGGCCATGGCTCGGCCTGCTTACGGTGGGGGTCATGTCGCTGGTCATCGCCGCCGGGCCTCGGCTCAGCGCAGCATGTGCGGCTGTCCCGGGCCGCGCTGCTGCGGCCGCGTGGTCCGCTTCAGGGGAGCGGCGGCACGGGCGGGCTGGCTCGTGTAGTGGAACGCGGCCGTCAGCTCTAGGCACGGCCCGGCCGTCACCACGGGCTGCCCGCGCTACAAGTGCAGGCGGGTGGCGAAGGCCTCGCAGCTCTGCGCCGCCGACACGTGCTCGCCGAAGCCGCCGCGCCGCCCCAGCTGCATTTACAAACTTGCACCACAGTCCCGGTGCAAGCCTGCTCGGCCGCCCGGGATGGCCGCGGGGCCACCCCGCGGCTTCTCCTCAGGCACGGCGGCCGCCTCCCCGGCCCGGGGTTCCACACAGGGCTCCGCCGAGAGCTCCACGCGGGTCGGGGGCGCGGCGGGAGTCGCCGCCAGTTGCGGTGGGGCTTCCGCGCTCGGGTCACCGCCTCCCGTTCGGCCGCGCCTCGGCCGGGCCTTGGCCCGCTTGCGGGCTCCGGACAGAGGCGCCCTGCGGCGGCGCCGCTCCAGCCGCCCGGCCCTCTCCACGCTGTGCGCCGGGCCCGCCGCTCCCAGTGGTGCCGCCGCCGCTGCCATCTGGGTTTGCGCAGGAACCGCCGCCGCAGCCTGGTCGACACCAGCCAGTACCGCGAGACGAAGTCGCCGTCGCCGCCGAGCCCCGTCCCGGAGCCGCCCGGCTCGGGGGGGCCAGAGTCGCCGCCCGCCGCCAGCAGTCCTGCGGAGCCTTGTGCAGCTCCATCCTCGGCCTGACTCGCTGCGGCTGCCGAGTGCCTCGACAGCCCCGCGCTCTGTGCCCGCCGCCGGCCTCGCCGCAAGCAACATCGAGCGGCTATCACGTATCTTTTTTAAACATCGCGCCGCTGCAGCTGGTAGGCACAGCAGCTGTTGCTTAGCTACCGGCTCCCAGCACGGGCCATGTTCCATGCATGCCTCCAGCAGAGGCAGTCCGCAACATGGCCACGAAACAAGAAGAGAAGGCACTACCTCCTGCTCCCGGCATGGGTAAGATGGTGCCGCCCATGCTCCGGCGTGGTCTCCACGTGTCTGCAAGTTTGCCATGGCTTGGGGATTCAAAGTTTGTTCCCTTTTACCAGTCACACAATCCGCGACACGCGCCTTCTTCCTGGAATTCACGTATCCGCGAAAAAGGTATATTCTAAGGCTTTTCTTCCGTGCTCTCGGACCCCCTCCCCCTTTCCACACTGCGGTAGCACGTGGAGTTCCATGCTTTACAATGTTTGGGGGAGGGGAAGATTCAAAGTTTCTCTCTGTGGACGAGTTCTCTTGCGAGGGTTTTAAAGTGTCTACCTTTTT